ACCCATGACAGCTTCTGCCTAACTCTGTCTCTATTATTTGACTCTGAGTTGCACTGGGAGCCCCAGTCTGGGCCCTCTCTTTGGCTTTGACCGTCCCTCTGCGGGGGGCTGGCCTGACTGTAAAGACTGGGAAATGCAAGGTCAGGATGGCTGAGGTGACCTGCCTGATCCATAAGGTGGGGAGCAGCTGCTTGAAGCCAGAGTCGGCCAAAGTGGAGGCCATCAGAGACTGGCCTGTTCCTCAGACCAAGAAGCAGGATCAGGCTTTCCTTGGGATGGCAGGGTATTACCGGAGGTTTGTGTCCAACTTCAGCTCCATCACTGCCCTAATCACGGAGCTGTGAAGAAAGGGGAGGCCTGACAGGGGCAGTACCAGGGGGTTCTCTGCGTACTGAAGGAGGCCCTGGTCAAGGCCCCAGTGTTGGTAAACTTTAACTTCGACCAGCCCTTTGCCATGTTTACCGATGCCTCACACACTGGGCTGGGGGCGGTGCTGACGCAGGTGGATGAGAAGGGGGAGCGACACCCCATCATGTACCTGAGCAGGAAGCTGCTGCCCCAGGAGCAGAGCTATGTGGCCAAAGAACAGGAGTGCCTGGCGATGGTATGGACCCTCCTGGCATTTCACAGTGTACACTGACCACTGCCCCCTGACCTGGCTGCACCAGATGAAGGGGACCAACGCCAAGCTGCTGAGGTGGAGCCTGCTCCTGCAGGACTACGACGTGGAAGTGATCCATTGTCAAGGAGAAAGCCAACATCATCGCTGACGCGCTATCCCGTAGTGGGGGGCCCGAACTTCCCCAGGCCACACGCAGAGTGTCCCTGCTCAATTCGCTCTCGGAGGGGGGAGTGATGTGATGTAGTGTCAGTACCTTGCTGGTTGCTGTGCTTGGGCTGAGGGCTGTGGATGACCCCTACTGGTGTCTGTCTGTAAGCACTGTCCAGCAGGGGGCGTCTTGAGGGCCCCCATGGCAGTGACCGAACTGGTTCTACCAGTTAAAGGAAGGGATGGAACAAAGGCAGTGAGTG